GGATGGATGGATGGATGGATGGATGGATGGATGGATGGATGGATGATTGTTGAGTTTGAATAGTTTAGTCAGTAGCAGCCGTTCATTCTTTAAGGTTTCAGGTCTCCCATCTGTTGTCTGCATGTAGGTTCCCTGGACTACTAAACCTGATCTTTAGTTGAGCACCAACTGTTGCTGCTCAGTTTTATCTCTGTGATAAGTTCAAACTCACTGTTAAAATTCTGTGTCGTCAACCGATTTCGTCAGATATGAGTGTCATTTTTTCAATAGGAATCATAAGAAGGGACCTACACAAAGTCTCATTTCATCTATTAGCCATGAAGATGTTACAAAGAATGATGCTGGGTCCTACCTTTTGAGCCTCAGTGATAAAATATGTTGATAAAGACTTAAGTCTTCCGGGACATGATGATCCGAAGTGATTAAATTAAACAAAATCACAAATCCGTCTTTTTTCTTGAAAGTGTTTGACCTATGATTCTATGGATATAGATTGCCATGCAACATACAGCATGATAACACCAATTAAACTGTAAATCCTGTTGTGAAACAAAGGGTAAGTGAGGAACAAAATTGCATAATTTCTCCTATTTTCCTCCCTTTGACTGCTTCTGTACATGTGAAAATCATGCTTCTGCAGAGCTATCGAGAAACCTGAAAGACTCTTGTCAGCAGAGGGCAGGACCCAAAAGCTATATCAAGGTCTTTGCCATGATGGAAATCGCCTTGGCCTGTGGTTAATGTGAGCTCTTGCTGGTGTGCTGACTCTAGATGGCACACGTCCATGCAGATGTACTTTCAGATGACCTTGACCGGTCAGTCAGTGAGTGATGCTCTACACTCCGATGTATTAAGAGGCCAATGTCCGTACATCATCTACCCATTTGAGTGCGAATGGCTGCTCAAACTGTGCCATGCCCATCCCTCTGTGGACCCATAGTGTGAGATATCCATCTCAAATGAAGTTGCACTGGTGCACTGGCTTAATAGGTCAGCAAATGTGCAATTAGCCTTATTATGGGAAGTGTTCTCATTCCCTTAAAATAGATTGATCACAAGGAAAAATCTCAAGCTTACCAAGTTTATTCAATTCATACAAACTAAACAGCATTGATTCGTACACACCGATGTGTGGGTAGAGTGCCGGAGCTGAAAGACAATGCTTATTGGACATAAAGAACACTCAAAATGACAATAATTGATAAGCAAACATTATAATACAACATAGTGTTGGAATGAGGAGGTACCGCAGTGGGGATTCTCATGCGCATTTGAATTTCCATAAATGATTTTGGCATTACATTTGTCATTTGTGTACAGGGAGAAAACCATATGGCACAATGTCATAATGACAGAAAAACCACTGCTTATTCAAGAACTCATCTCTTTTTACTGCAAATCACTGGCACCGCTGGTACCAGAGCTCCACCATCACGTTGAGCTGAGTTTCAGTGAAATAAAAAGATAGAGGCATTGCATATGAAATACCTTCTATTTCTTTTCAGTGTCTTTGACCCTGATAACGACTGCAATAGAGACTTTTCATGAATATAAATATAAATCTGGATGAAAGGCAATTTTCCCCAGTGCACATAAAATAACACTCTTGAACATTTAGTGTTTGTCAAGAAGGTATTGTGCCTTTGCAATTTGACTTCACTTTCTGCAGAGTGGCCATCAAACCGCTTCACTTATATAAATCACATGTTTCTCCAGAAATCGTGTCAAATCATGAGGCATAATTTTAAAGCTTAAGTATATTGTGAAACTATGTGAGACAATGGGTATGATGCTACCCCCCCACCTTAGAATTTCAGTCTCCTACCAAGTGTATCTGTAACAGGTGATTGGCTGTTATCGGGGTAAGTTAAATATTCTTTATGATGAAAATACAGAAATTCAAAAAGTGTGTATTCAACTAATAGCCAAGTGTAACACAAGGTCAAGTGTTGTGTGAGAAATAGCATTGCTCCTTTATTATGTATTTTGACCACAGTTATGTGTCTCTGAGACTGACATAATCTTGTCATATAAATTCTATTTGAGGCTAAGACTTAGTTATTCTTGTACAAATGTACTTGTATGACTATAGGTTTACACATACTTTTAAATTCCTTGATATCAAAATGTACCGTGACACACATTTGTGTCTTTTTAGTCTCCCGGGATAGTTTATTTTAAAGTACTGAATGTTTTTTATTCTTTTCAAATAAATACAACATCTACATGTCAGCATACATCACACAAAATATGTGATATAAAAAAAAAAGATATATGTTTTGGAACTTGAGTGGATTGAATGACTTTTTCCAGCTACGGGGATTTTGTTACCTTGAGTGCATGAAGACACCAGAATCTGTAGCAGGGAGAATGAGAATAGAGAAACAAATTATTAGCATTATTTCTTTTGCCTGTAAAACTTTATAAACTTTAATATTTGGTTTAGAAGTTAGACAGTGGCGGTATGGGATAGGTTGTCTATTAATAAAAATAGACATCAGGCTAACTAAATGCTATCAGCTCAAACAACCTAAACCAGAAAACCCTTTCAGCTGGATGGTCTACTGAAGTTACTTTCAAAAAGGAATCCTGGATGTTTTTCACTCTTCAAAGGTTCAGATTCCTTTGAAAGTCTAAAGTATCTTGTTGAGTTCTTGCTCTTGATGGAACAGAGGCTGCTTTGCATTATTGTCATTGATGAAAAGCTCCTAAAAGCAAGCTTCAGTACAGTGCAGTGCCTGTAGGAGAAAGTTAAATTCAGAGAAGCTATTACTTTTCTTACCTTGAGGAGATGCCCAACATCGAGCTTTATCTAGAGGACTTAACAGCAGCAGCTGTAGCCTTTCTTGCCTGCAAGTAAAATGTGTCAGCTAATAACTAATCCCTTATCCCCGTGACAGTAAGCAGTGATCTCGTCATGGCCCCAGATAATGTACTCATGCCTGTACCTTTTTATTGGATGTCAGCACTGTATTTTTTTTGTACATGCAACTGTGTTTCAAGTATTATTCCTGACAGATTGTTTGTGGTTTTGTGTAAATTCTGACACTTTTAGCTTTGATTTGTTTAACATTTGCTGCCACTTTGTCATGCTTTAGGACAGCTATGAATGAAGTCCCATTACCATACAGATGACAACCAGCTATTC